CCTCTTTCCTTGGCTTCCTCCTATAAAGGCCACCGGTGACCCCGTGGCGGCCGCCTTGGGAGCCAAGAGCTGCCTACTTCCAGCAGCACACACAGGGACAGTGCCGGGGCCATCTGTGCACTGCCCAAGGCAGGCCTCACCAAACCAAGGCCACTGAGTGCTTCGGGGAGCCTCGGAGCCTCTGGGCTCCCAACAGAAACACTGGTTCTCTGGGCAGCGGCCCCGTCCTCCCACCCTGCGCTTGGTCCCGAAAAGCCCGTTTTGGAGCTGTTGCTATTTAATCAATCTGCCCTCCCTTGCTCTCCTGCAACTTCTCACTATTCCGGCTGCAGCTCACTGAGAAAAACACTTGAGAGTCTTTCGTTCTCCACACCCATGTACTTAAAATACCAGGCCTATAGGTCATTTTAATGAGGGAATTTGGCTCATAATATGTGTGCCCTGAGGCACAGATCCCACTTCTGCAGATGCTGGCCAAGAAGGGCTGTGTCTCAGCAGCCATGGGGTGGAGCCTTGGAGAGGGCAGGGCCGTGGAGGGCACAGCATGTGGGTCCTGTCAGGTGTGCCCAGCTGCAGCCCAGTGTCAAGGCCGTGCTGGGTCTCATTGGAAGAATACAAAGGAAACGTAAGGCAGTTTTCACGCAGTGGAAAATGTTACCTATGTGTGAAGAAGTCACCACGCTGTCTATAAGATAATAAGCAAATGTCCTTGTACCCAAAGCTATAAAGAAGAGCCTATTGTGAGGGAGAATATCAGAACTCTCCTTCTTGGTGAACCCCGTGACTGGCCAAAACACCACACCTGTTAGTGCGTGCTTGGTGGAAACATCTCGTGACTGCGCATAAAGTGATGGGCATGAAATAATAAGAATTCAGACAATGAGCAACGATTTCACAAATATTCACTCTGATTAAGTGTTATTCCTGGTGACATAGATTCATCTGTGGTTGACCAGGTGGGGTGTCATGCTCAACCGCCAGAAGTCCAAATACTGCTCAGTAAGAAAATGCTTTTGAACTATAACTCAGGCTGAGTACCATGTGTACATTAGAATCACAGGGACAGCTTTTACTTTTTGGGGCAGTGGTAGGCATGGATAAAGTATCTCCAGTCCAGATTCCTTGTACTGGTGCTACTTGGTTTGCCGGTAGAGATTTATGACCTCAGGGACAATAACTGGAAGAACAGGGAGGAGAAAGTTCAAGGATATTGGTTCTGCCATATAGCAAAACTGTGTGACTTTGGGAAATTTACTTAACCTGTCTGAGCTTTGCTTTGCTACCTATTCATCAAGAACAATAAAATTAATCTTGTTTATTTCATGAGATTGGTGTGAGAACCAAATGAAACAGTATATGGGAACATGTTTAAAAAGTTGTAAGTTCTACATGACTTAAAAATGTCAATATTATGAACCCAGCCATTTTTTTTGTTATTTGGGAAGTCGTGGATAGGGTGGTGGGAGGACAGCCACCGTCGGAGCAGGACTGTTCCAGAGGGTAAAACACACGGGTACCTGTAGAGCAGTTGCCACTGGTCGAGCCGTGATGGGAGCTTTTATGACATGTGCTATTTGTACTGAGTTAAGACGCTGTATTCATTTCCTGGGGCTGCTGTAATAAATTATCACAAACTGGGTGGCTTAAAACCACAGAAGTCTAGACTTTCACAATTCTGGAGGTCAGGAGTCCAAGACCAAGGTGGCAGCAGGACCACGCTCCCTCTGAAGGTTCTAGGGAGGACCCTTCCTTGCCTTCCTGACCCTCCCTCTGTAGTGTTCTCTAAAAAATGTTTGTCTACCTAGAACCTCAAAATATGGCTTAGAGTCTTTACAGATGTAATCAAGTTAAGATAAAGTCATACTGGACCTGGGTGGGCCCTAAGTCCAATGACTGATGGTCCTTACAAGGAGGAGGGGCACACAGTAGGAAGACCATCGTGTGAAGACAGAGGCAGAGGTTGGAGTGCTATAGCTGCACGTCAGGAAAGGCCAGGGAACACTGGCCACCATGTGAAGCCAGAAAGAGGCAAGGAAGGGTCCTCCCTAGAACCTTCAGAGGGAGCGTGGTCCCGCTGCCACCTTGGTCTTGGACTCCTGACCTCCAGAATTGTGAAAGTCTAGACTTCTGTGGTTTTAAGCCACCCAGTTCGTGATAATTTATTACAGCAGCCCCAGGAAATGAATACAGCGTCTTTATGAAGTCATTGAGATGCTAAAGTTGTAGGCAACAGAAGAATCACACGGGCACCTGCCCACCTGCACGTGGCTGTGGGCATCCCAGGCCAGCTGCATTCTTGGTAGATGAAATCAGAGAGTTGAAAGGCACATTGCGTGCATTCACGAACCCCCTCATTTTGCTGATGGGAAAACTGAGATCTGAAGAGTTAAATAATTTGTATTGGATTCTCAAACTTGTAACTCTCTTTCCGAAAGCACCAGCTCAGTCTCTCTCTGTCTCTCTCTCTCATACACACACATGCACCCCTATACCTACTCAGGACAGGGGCCACGGCATTATCTATAGCTGTGCCTTCAGGGTACTTAAAAAAATGTTCGAATTCCCCTTCCTTTCTAAAGCTCCTTCCCACTTGCCCCCTTTCCTACCTTTCCGTGAGGGCTACGTGGGTGTATAGAAAAGGTTCCCGCCCTCTGGGAGACTAGGGCTGCACAGCCACAACCCTGTTCAGTCTGAAACCCTAAATAATCAAAGGTGAAGGATGATTTATGAGGCAGCCCAAACAGCCATAAAGCAAAATGTAGTCATCAGGGAAGGCTGCCTGGAAAACAAGTAACTGCCCGTTGCCAAATGCTGAAGGCAGGAAGACTGGAGTGAGGAGTGCAGCAAGGAACCCTGGATGGCTGGCGAAGCGGGTGCAGGAAGGGAGACCTCTGCGTCTCAGTGCCATGGCTTGTGGGTGGAACTGGGAGGATGCACACCAGGAGTCAGGTGTGAGGAGGGGAGGGGGTGAGTGAGAAATTACTCAGGCAGGGTCTTACTAGTGAGAAGATCCTACAAACTGGTTCTGGAAGTCAGTCTTGATGATACAGGTGATAAACTTTGTGGGTTCTTGACCGAGAGGGAACAGGCTGATCACGAGGCTTGCAGGGCCAGCTGTGGATCATATGGGTGTGGCTGTTCCCAGGATCTGATCTTGGAAAGCCAGTGACTGCCCAGTGAGAAGGGCAGTTGCCCTCAGGATGTGCCTCCTTCTGCAGCAGCATCTTCCTCCACGTCACATCACGTGCCCTGCTTGCTGGGCCTGGCCAAGGCCTCTTCTGCCCACTCCTCTCCTTCAGCTAGATGCCAGGGTAGGAAAGCATCCAGAATGTCACCTGGTAGCATCTGAAGGATGTCCAAAAGCTGGCAAATCCCCAAAGCCCAACAAGACTCATCTCTAGGATCCGGGGACAAGCTAGCTGATGGGAAAGATGGATTTGGAGGCAGAGCCACCTGGCACCCCTGATGCTCTACCCGGGAAATCACTCCCCAGAAGTAGCCTCACCTCGTTTGCTAGACAGGTCAGCTGAGACTGTTGTTATAAAGGCACAGCGGGCAGAGCGGGCTTCTTTATCTAATTGTTACTTGCTGTGGCTCTTTTTATTATAGACTTTAATACAGATAGAATCCACATCCTTGGGGAGCGTTTGATGGAGGTTTCTCATGATTAGGAATCGTGGCTTGCTGTGGCCAAAGATTTTATTTTCATTGAGAATTTTTCTGGGGCCTTCCTTTGTGTTAAGACATGTGTGACAATTGAAAGTGATTTGCTCTTTCTAACTTGGAGATGAAAGATCATTGTTTTAAAATGGTGAATGGTTTTTAGAGCAGATAAGGGAGTGGATGGGCGTGTTTGGGTTTCCTGTCATTTACCTTTGATTTCACTTTGTGCTACATGATTAACATGTTGATTAAAGAACTACTGTATTGATGTAGGAAGACTGAACATCAGACTTAATCAAATGTTAGGGTCCTGTTTTAGACCCATGAGAAGCAGAAAAGAGAAATAAATAAAGCAGATGCAACACAACACACACACACACACACACACACACACACACACACACACACCCCTTTGAATACCATGTGCCAGATACTGTTTTAACAGTGTTACTCATAGTAACTCATTTAATCTCCCCCAATACTCTCTAAGGTAGGAAAATTTGCATGTACCCATCTTCCAGGTAAGAATACTGAGGAACATGGAGGTGTCTAGGGACTTGCCAAAGGTCAGCTAGCCAGATTTATCCTCTGAACCACTTGACCGACAAAAAATGTTTTTAGATTAGTAAATACATGCAATGGAGATGTTCTCACCTTTTATAAATATACATAAAACGTGTACATGGAGATTACGTGCATTTTTTATTACTAGTACTTATCAAATCTCAGTCTGTCAGTTACATATGCTTAAGTCCATTTATGAGTCATCAATTTTGTTCTGGCTGATCCCATGAGTACCTCTAATAATATCTGACATTTTCAAATAATATTTAAAATCAGCCAGACTTAGTCTTTTAAAAATATAGCGAGAATAATTCTAATTTAGCCCATCTTCAAACTTAGAAATCCTGTCTTTCCTAATCTTCAAAAGAACAAAGTAAGAAGAGAAAGATGGATATGGCTTCTTCTGCTCTTCTTTGCTCTAAGTTATAAATAACTGGGGAAGATGTGAGCAGGGAAGTTAGGAACCAGGAGTGGAGAGTGGCCAGTCTGACTCTATGGTTTCCTGAAATCTTGACTTAACAGAAAATAAATCCCAATCTTTCTTGATCTTGTTTATTAATGATTACATTAAAGCCATATAACTATGTGAAGTGTCACACCTACGCAAGTATCATAAATGTGCATTCCAGAATTTAAGCCCAAATCCTGGGAATGTTGTTAAAACTGGCAACTTGTGCTGAAGGGCTGGAAAGCATAAATTAATGATGGGTTATTCAACAGCTATGATCAGGCCACCACCTCATTCTTTTTTGTTCTCTATTGTGCCCCAACAGGGAAAAGCTTCACTCTGACCATCACTGTCTTCACAAACCCACCACAAGTTGCCACCTACCACAGAGCCATCAAAATCACAGTGGACGGGCCCCGAGAACCGCGAAGTAAGTTTACCCGCTTGGGGCTGGTATACCCTCTAGGCTGGTACACCCTCCAGACTGGTATACTCAGGGACCATGTCTCAGAATCCTTGGGTTCAGCCTTTCCCCCAGGGGGATATCAGGCCCCTGTAAAGCCAAAAGTTGCATTGTCAACATTCTTGCCGCTCAAAGCTTGTTTCTGCGCACTGGGCTCTTTTTGAAGCATCCTTTTAGAGGGCAAAAGGAAATTAGGCTGAGTCAACTGCATGTTACAGCCATTCAGGGCAGCATGAAACTAAGGCCTACTCCCTCAATATACAGTAAAGTTCAGCAGGATCAGAAATAACCAGTAAATGGAAGATGGCCCAGGCACAGAGGCAGCCCAAAGAGGCCTGAGGGTCAGAGTGGACCACAAGGGAGTAATTACCATCTATCCTGGCCTTTTATTAATTCATGAGGGCCAGAGATGAAAACTATGAAAATGACCCTTTTCTTTCTATGGCACAGATCAAAATCTTATTACAGGCATGTTTAAGAAAGAGAATTGGAGTGTAGAAGAAGATCTGGAGAAAACCAGTAAATATAGAAAGATAGTACCAAAAAATAGCTCCTGTGGGGAAAGCTTTTAAAAAAGGAGTGAGGTTGTTTAGTCTGCAGAAAAGATGTCTTCACAGTGACTTAATGACTATCTTTGAGTAAACACCAGAGTAGTACTCTTTTCCAGAACCACACCCTTCCCCAGGATCTGAGGCTGGGTTACAGTTCCAGGTCTGTGGAGCTGCCCAGCACCCCCACCCAGCATCCAGATGTCTTCAAACCATATCAGGTCTCTGGTGGAAAATTAATACACTCTCATCTTGGAGCGAGGGATATTGAAAAACAGTGCTTCCTACTGTCCCCAAAGCCAAGATGCAGGGAGGTCAGGTCATAAAATGAAATCATTAAGAATTTGGACTTTATGGGCAAGCCAGTGGAGTTCTTAAGCCTTCAGTGAGTGACAGAGCCTTGCTGAACCTTGCTTTTCTCTTCTGTGAAATGGAGATCATAACGAGAACTTCTTGTAAGATCAAGCCAAATGATGCTAGGTGCCTGATGCAGAGAATGGAGGCAGGAAATGTTAGTGATCCGCATTAGGGCATCCCTGTCTTCATCTCTGGCTACTGCTCCAGGCCCCTCCAGCTGACCTTCTCCACGTGGTGGTTTCTAGGTGGGCTTCTAAGGTAGCTCTCTGCAGGCTTTCCTGTCATTATGGCAGCTTTTCTGGCAGCCTTCCCTCTGGTCCTGGCCACAACCTCATGGCATTTGGATCACCTTCTGGAACCATTCCCCATGCTTCATCTACTTTCCCAAAGTCCCTGAATGGATGGAGCTCTGCAGAGAGCATGGCCACCAGGGACAGCCCCCCAGGATGTGGCATTCCTTGTCCGCATCCCCTTTTTCCGCTTGCTGGGCTCAGTGACTCCCTCCACATCTGAGTGTATTTTTCCCCAGAGGGTCCTCTCAGCTTTTTCTGATTAAGACTTTCTGGCCATGTCTAGACTCAATAGACTCTGGGACTTGATAACAGACCCTGATTCTTCTTTATGGGTGAGAAGCAGGTCATAGACACAGATGGGACCACACAGGTCTAAGGAATGACTGTGATCTCCTTCTAGGCTTCCAGAGTAAGAATGTCAACCTGGACATTCCTACATTAATGTAACCCTGCATTAAACAGAACATAAACACCAAAGTGAGTTTGTTCTCCACAGAGGACCAAAGAGGAAGCAGGCTTGAATTATACAAGATGCCTGGCTGGGAGAGAGACAGCTGTTAGGTGTAAGAAAGTTAACTTTGTGGGTAACTGCACTTACAGAAGGGCTCCTTCAAGAGGCTATAGAATCACTGTCTTTAGAAATAGAAGCCACAGCCATCTCTTGGGCAGTTCAAATGCCAACCAGCCTGAAGAAGCTGAAGCCAGGTGTATACCCTCTACTTCTGTTATTTCCTCATGCATAAAGAAGGCTGGGTTTCGCCTCACCGCTAGCATTTCCTGTGACATTCAAAGAAATAATAAAGTGGCTGAGCTTCAGAAAACAAATGGTGGCTACTCCGACTTTTAAGAATTGGCAGTCAGAGGGGGAAAAAACGTCTATGTGATTGTAACGGTCTGCCTGTATATACAGTTTACTCTGCCCCTGCTGTTTTATAACTTAAGAAAACAGTTGTTACATGGAGAAGTGCCCTCTGAGCAGACAGAAGGAATTTGCGCCAAAGAGGCATCCATTTTTACACAGTCTTCCCTGCCAAGTGGAATTTGGGGTCTGGGGAAAAACTAAATGTGTAGAATAAGTATAAGTCTGATATAAAGAGGTGCAATAGCCTCAGGTAGAGAGTCTCACATTTCACAAGGGACTCCTAGAAAAAAGTCAAGTGCGCGCAGACTCCCAGGGTGGCTTGGATAATGCTGACTTTTCTATTTGCCCTATGAAGCAACAGGGGCCGTCACTGCTAATTTTAGTATGCCGGTTTCTTATTGTTTGAACATCTTCATTTGGGGTGGGAACTTCTCTATGGTAAGCTTTGCTCACAGTTGCTTTCCAATGTAACGTAAAGACAGGACACTGCATGTGAATCAGGATGCCCACACGTTGCCAGATCTCTGGTTGAATAAGACCTCCCAAGTCCCCTCCATGATTATGATACCATGAATTCTGGGTAATCCTGGCAAAATGGCCCTGGTATTTCCAAGAACAGATTGAATCATTTTGGAAAATTCTATAGTTTTATAGTATCAAAGACTTCGAGGGCTAGCAGGGGCCTGAAAGAGCCGTTAGGATAATCACCCCTTAGGTAAGAGAAATCAGCCCCAGAAAAATGAAATGGTTTGCCTGGCTTTGAAAAAAATAGTTGATGATGAAGTGGAAACAGAATGAGGAGTTCCTTATGTCTACTTCTGTGCTGTTCTTCGTCCATCTACCTGTCCATTCATCTGTTCATCTCTCCATCCATACCTTACTGTCTGTATAGCATCTATTTCTTATAGATTGCTTGACCTGGCCTCGGTATCCTCACATTTAAAATGAGGAGTTGGCTTTTATGGTTGGCTGGCACATTTGGCTCAGCTGTGTCTGTTACAGAAGGGCAAGCGTGGAGCCTCGACTTGAGGTATGTGTGCAAACTTAACTAAATAAAGCAGTTAGTATTTTGCCCTGGTATTTGGATAGACAAATTGCCGTTCATCCTGCTGTTCTGCTGATTAAGTTAAGGACTGAGAATGAGAAGCTGTGCCACAGCCCATCTGCTGGCCATGCCGATGGGATAACGTGATGTGTTCCTCCCCTCTTCCATGGCTTTCAGTGGTGAAACTGTAGGAAAAAGTATACGCCAAAGATAATTTACAGTGGTTTTCGTTTCAGTAATGGAGCTGCCCCTTAGAAAATCAAAACTTGTTTTTCTCCTCTTCCATATGATTTTAAGAAATATCTTATAGTAATATAGAAGTTATTCATTGTTGAAAAATTAACTTTATTGTGGAGAAAGAGCGCCATCAGGAGGTATTATCTGCCTGGAATGGGTTCTTAGTAGTGCCAAGGTGGGCTCTGTTTTTGGTTAGCAGATAGAGCACTTAGTAACTTGCTGATACATTGAGTGTCTCCTCCTTAAGCACAAAAGACACAGTGAAAGGATTTTTCAAGAAAATGATATTTGAGAGTGTTTGTTTGTTTGTTTGTTTGTTTCTGAGGCAGCGTCTTTCTCTGTCGCCAAGGCTGGAGTGCAGTGGCACGGTCTCAGCTCACTGCAACCTCCACACCCCCTGGGTTCAAGCAATTCTCCCTCTTCCACCTCTGGAGGTCCTGGTACTATAGGTTCCTGCTACCACACTCAGCTAATTTTTTGTATTTTTAGTAGAGACAGGATTTCACCATGTTGGCCAGCCTGGTCTCGAACTCTTGACGTCAAATGAACTGCCCACCTTACAGGCATGAGCTACCACATGTGGCTGAGAGATGTTTTTAATGTATGTTTTATAATTCTAGGATCTAATGAAACATTCCAGCTCTCAGCTCACACAGCTATACTTTAGGTGACTCTATGCTAATATCAAGATCCCAAAGCATATTCTCGACAGAGATTTCACTAAATAATTTGAATGCAGAAATTGTTTCATTCACGGCTATGGAGGAAGATATTTTGCCAAGGAGAAACTGAGGAGAGTGAGCAATGGGGACCCTAACTGACCCCTCTTGGGGTGCTGGTCCTGGTGGTATGGACTGGGCAGCCTTTACCTGTCTGGTCAGGTATTTGTTACATTGAGAAGCTGAATTAAAAACCAAAAAGGTTAATGAATATATTGGTCATTTCTGAGATAACTTTGGTCCATCCCCAGGTTAAAGGAGTCCTTCATGTGACTGTGTTCTGCTTGAGCTCTTGATGTTCACAATAAGGGACAGCAAGGTGGAGCCCTTACTTACAAACTCTAGAGTGCTTCCTGGGGCACCAGCCTTCTGGTGGACTAGTTTGTTTTTACAGGGAATTATAGTTAAAATAGGTTGATCCAAGGATCTAATCTTCATTACTCAGCTACTTTTTAAAGTACTTGGTTGAGATAATACCATCTGAATATCATTTTCTTCTATGACTTTGAGTGTGTATAGTAAACTTGTTATATATAAATGAATATGAGAAATAGGATCTTTATATATGGAGAATGTGTTTCAAGTGAAGAATAGAAATTGGATAAAAGGCACCTGTAGGCCAGGTAACGTGGCTCAGGCCTGTAATCCCAGCACTTTGGGAGGCCAAGGTGGGTGGATCATTTGAGGCAACTGGAGATCAGCCTGGCCAACACAAGGTAACCCCGTCTCTACCAAAAAATACAAAAGTTAGCCTGGTGTAGTGGTGCAGACCTTTAGTCACAGCTCCTCAGGAGCCTGAGGCAGGAGAATCAGTTAAACCCAGGAGGCGGAGGTTGCTGTGAGCCAAGATGGTGTCACTGCACTCCAGCCTAGGCGACAGAGAGAGACCCTGTCTCAAAAAAAAAA